TAATTAAAGGCTCATGGTATTGGTGCTGTGTTAAAAGGGACTTTGACTGACTAGATTTTTTATATATAGACTTCTGACTGAAAGAATAGGCCACCCAAGAAATGTCTTTCTAATTATGAGACAAAACAACAAACTCTTTTTAAGTATTTCTGCACATAGGCATCATTATAGACAACTGGATGTCACAAATACTTAGAGGAGAAAAGGAAAAGGAAGGGAAGAAGATATTTTATATTCAATGCTACACGATCTTAAAATCTGGGCCAGAGGTGCAGGCAGAATAATTCTTGTATCTTTGGGTTCATTTATTCACTCATTATTCATTCAACAACCAGTGTGTATTCTGTGTTCCAGACCTATACTCAGAAGTAGGTATACAAGAGCACTGGTTAGACACCTACCAGTCAAGTAGGAGAGAGGGAAATAACAACTACACAGTAGCCATGAGTAGGCTGCAGAAGCCTGACCAACATGTTAAAGGAAGCAATCAACTCTGAAAGAGAATCAGTCACAAAGGATGAATGGACTGTCCTGGCAATCCCTTAGCAAACCCTGTTCCCACTTCCTGTACTCTAGTCACGTCAAGGACTAAAATGAAGGTGGTGAAATGCTAATGTCGCAATGTAATTTAGATGACATCCCTTGGAGTTTAGGCAACTGGCTGTGTCTTCCATAACGTTTATGGGTATTTGTTTTAATTTACCACCACGGCAATGGTTTATGACAAATGCGTCCCCACCTTCCAGGCCTTCCCATAGGTCAACTCATGTGCAGGAGCTGTGTCACAAGATCGATTTAGCATGACACAAATCCACCTAAGACCCATGTGTGGGAATGTGTGAGTGTGCACTAAGGAAGGTGGTTATTCCAAGGGCCACAGTTTAACCCAGGATATGGTCCCTCCAGCTGGGATCCTAAGCACTAGCTTGGGAATCGAAAAACATAGAATACATCTAGGTATTGGAATCTTATGGGTCCAAATTCAAATCCTGAGGTTACCTCCTAGTTATATGATAACCTTAAATCCATTAATTTCATCAAGCCTAAGTTTCCTCATATGTAAGAAAGAAGCTATGTATTACACAAGTTATTCTGAGGATTGCATGAAATGTGAATTGGGGGTGTGGGAGAGAGTACAGTGTCTAGACCCTCCCCCACAGACACCACATGTTAGTTCAACTGCCCTCCTTATTTAAGCTGTTAATTCCCTAAGTGATTCTGGGAAATTCATTTCATCACTCCAGCCTCAGCTTTTCATTCTACCAACTTAGGAGGTGGGACCTCCAAGGTCTCTTACAATCCGAACATGCTGTCCATTTGATGTTATTATTAGGAAAGAGGCTTGTTTACAGTCTCAATTTTATACCATCTGGCATTCGCTCTTACACCCTAAGCCCCCCTTTTAAATTCATGGTGCTAGTCCCTCTCGGTTTCTGCCTTCTGGATTCTATCCCACTGGCTCTGCTGAAAGTTGTTCATAGGCCAGCGGCTGTGTTAAGAATGGCACAACCTTTATCACAGAGCATATCCTCACAACCACCATGGGGTATATAATCAGTATTTTTCTATCCATTTTACAATTGAGGAAAGCAAGGCTCAGGAGTTTCAGCAACTTGTTAAAAGTGGAGGATTCAAAGCTGGCTCTGCCTTCTGCTGGTTACATGACACTTCCTTTACATTCTCAGACTGTACCTAGTTTGAGTTCTTCCTTCTTATGACCCTGTAATGTGCTCACTTATCTCATAAATTACTTCACGTTCCTAACTGTGTGTTACATCTGCTAAGTGACAAAGGTACCTATGCCTGGACCCATCATCTCTGAACCCACAGAGAACTAATGATGGGATTCTCAGATCCTGAAGCTGATGGGTCAGGGTGGGCATCAAGATGGGCATCTTTCAAACAATTGTACATGGTCAAGCAGCTACTCAGCTACCAAAAGCTACATTTTAGCTCAAGCTTAAAATCTGTGAGCTCTCCAGCTGCCATAAACCCTCTCATAATATCACAGAATAGTAATGGCAAAAGGTTCACAGTCGGGGGTCAGACAACTCCAGGGTTGTTAGCCAAGGCAACTTGGGTGGATTATTAGCCTCTCTGAGCTTTTTAATCTGCTAAGTGGCCTTAAGTATATTCACACCATGGAGCTTCAGGTTCCTCAACTGTAAAATAAGGATATCATCGGGAACCTTGGAGGGATGACACTGGAATGAGAATGCCTGGTCCACAGAAACAGGAACAGGAAAGGAGTTTGGGGAAAGGTCAGGTTGTTTCCAATAATCAGGGGATTCTAGACAAGAGCAGAAAGATGGAAATCAAATAGAGGTTCACTGGCCTCTAAGTGCCTGCTGAATCTGTGAGGAGTCTGACCGGTGAAAGAATGCCCTGCATCGGCTGCCCTATTAATGGCAAAAGCCATAGACTATAAGACTCCTGACCCACTTGCTAGGTCACCTAGTAGTTGTTGCTGGAGGGCTCTTACCAGGTGAGAGGTTCCTGACTGAGCCAAATGGTCAAATGTAATCACACACCATCTCTCCCCTCTCCCCTTTGGGAGCATCAGGTGGCCCCAATAATGGTTGGGCTATTCTGGGCTATTCTGGGCTCACCAATAGGACTTATTCTCTGTGCATATTCCAGGGTTCCCTTCAGCCTCATGTTCTGCATCTCCTGCCGAGACCTTTTCCTCCTGCCTCACAGGATCAGTGGGGAAAGGGGAAGAGGAGGAACTGACCACACAACTGAACCTTAGCATTTTTCTCTCCTTATCATTTTATTTCTTTAGTTATGGTACATTTCCATTTATGGAGTACTTTCCCTTATAAAATCTACCAGTTTTTACTTCTAATCTACTAAGTAATTCCTCTGACCTCTTCTTGTTTTTACCCTTTAAATATCTGTTGATGGTTCATTCACCACATTCCCCATTCGGTTATTAATGGCCCACAAAAACTTAGTAGCAGCAATCATTTACTGATTAATCTGCACAACAATCCGGAAAGACAGGTAGTATTAATCCTTAGTTCTTCAGAGGGAATCCAAGGGGAAAAGAGAGGTTAACTCAGTTGCCCAAGGTCAGTGGCTAAACAAGATTAGATCCAAGATCCAGGAGATCTTGAATTTCTGTAAACACTTCCCAACACATTGGTCCCTTTCTCTACAAACCCACATTTCAATACAACTAGATCCTTTCTGTGTTGAGATCCAGTTGTTACAGAATGGTTTAAAACTGCCAAAATTAAATTCCCAGTAATTTCAGACCTAAGAAAAAAATTGCTAAACCGAATAAAAACTAGAAACTGAAAACAAATTTTACAGAGGCAAAAGTAAAAAAGTCTGGACAATGGTCTGGCTCCATCACAGGGAGACTCTAAGAAAGTCACTGAACTTCTTTGCATCTGAGTGGTTTGGAAAAATGAGACAATGCGACTTACCATATCTTGTTTTAAATGACATGACTGAATGCCTACTAAACAGCGCAAAACATAAAACCTCCAATATTCAATGCTGTCAAGATCACGGTAAAATTGGTATATTCATTCACTCTTAAAAAATACACAGCAACAAGCCCCTTGGAAAACAGCCAATAAATAGCAGGAATCATAAAGAATTTTACATCCTTTGACTTAATAATTTAACTTGTACATGGTTTTTTACCCTAAGAAATAAGTCAATGGAGGCAAATAGACATAAGCAAAAGTGCACATTTCAGTGCTAAGCATCAGAGAAAAAATTGACATCAATGCAAATGTTTACTTTGTAGATATATGTCTTATTAAAGAAAAACAGAACAATTTGAGTGTCAAGCTGCTATTAAAAAGAATTCATGTGAAAATTATTTTAAAAATCACTTCAAGTCGTACCAACACTATCAAATAAACACCCAAAACTACAAGAACAGATATGTCCTCTAATGTCAACCATCAACGTGTTGACATCTGTGCAAGATCACATGAAAACTCAAAATTACTCTGATATTGGTTAGGCTTATTATTTTTTTTCTTAGTATTGATATTTTTAACTTTTTAATGAAAACTTTTTCTGTTACCATATTTCCTTAATCAATAATCTTAACATCTCAAACTCTGCTTTAGTCTAATGGAAACAAATTTCAAGTCTCTACCTAAATCTCCACAGTAATATTTATTGGCTGACACATTCACATTATTCTTCCAGAGTGACTTCTGCCCTTTCCTACGTAATTCTTTACTTTAGAGTGTCTTCAGAGATTCCAAAATCTCAGAATCCTTGCTTCTTTCCCTCACCTAAGAAGGCTCTTCACAAGCTGTTATCTAAACTAGCTATGAATAGCCCCAAGATTGTCTGGTAATGTTAATATTTGGCAACTGCCTGACCCAAGAGCCAATATTTTTATATCACCTTGAGCCATGGGTGTCCCAATAGCAACCACAAAGTTGCCATTATCCTTTCACAGAGTATAAGGTGACTTCATGCCCCAAGGTTTGGGAGCAATACAGCAGGATAGCTTGTCTTTATAGGGGTCGTAGGAATCCCTTCTGGTTCACTTAGGAAAGCCACCCACAAGCAGCACTGGGTTAGGATCTCCCCTGTATAGAGATCTTTACCTCCCCCCTCATCTCCTAGAAATGTTCGCTTCCTAGTAGGTCATTTGTACATCTTTGCTCACAATATCTGGGAAAGACTGCAGAGCCAATGAATTAAAAATATGATTCTAGGTCTCATGTGTGCCAATGAATGCCCTCATTAAAGCAGAATGAGTGAGATGAGATCGGTTTCAAAGCTTTCCATCCCTTTGCCCCAGAGCCGCCGAGGCCAGGCACTGAAAGGATGCACAGTAAAATTAAATATCTAAAAATTCATCTTTAATTAACAGAATTGGATTAAAGCTAGACACCACTGCATATCATACGAGAAATGGCTGAGCTGGCTTCCAAGTGCTCTAATTCAATTAGGACGCAGTGAGTGACACTCGGACGGGAAAGGTTAATTGGGGGCGCCAGAACGCAATCATTCCTTACCTAACCAGTCATTAAACTTCTTAACCTCTGAGGGCAGTCCCAGCTCGGTGAAATCGCCTGTGTGGAGAAGGATGTCCCCATAAGGCATCTGGATACCATCTGTTCTGGAGTGTGTGTCTGAGATGCAGACAAACCGCGTGTGGCCCGCTGGTTTTGGAGTATCATATGGGATGGGGTCGACCCTAAAGTAGACATAACAGATCCCATAACAGTTAAATATATTAGAACCCTCGTATTTGTCATCGCACATACATATCCATTGTTATCCACGAACGCACACAAACTGATGCACAGGCAGAAGGGCACCTGGTGACAAGGGACACTTTGGGGTGCAATGGAGACAACATCGCCCATCGACAACCCCACTGGACAAACTTACAGTCTTACTTACCTGGAAGGAAAAATAAAAGGAAAGAATAATTTATATGTACAGCCAGAAATAACCCAGGAAACTGATAGAGTGATTAATGCTGAAATTTAGCGATATTGAACCCCAACTGGGAAAGCAAAATTATGCTATTTTCTCTCTCATCATGCTCCAATTGATCCCACTACTCATTAGGAAATGGATAACTAATTTATTCCTTCTTAAACATGCATAACTTAAGCAATGAACTAATTTACAGAGAGCAGTCTATAAATGCTTTGCCAACTGAGATGTGGAGCTACAGAGATGGCACTTAGATTTAATTTCCTTTCCACAACTATTCACACCTGTATCTTCATGATTTTGTGAAGACATCAGCAAATCAATTGTGGGGAGAAAAGGTGATGCCAAAATAGGAGGACTTTAAAAAAGAAAAAGATATTAAAAGAACTTTGTCAAACTCCTTCTTTACCACCATGAATTATCTGCAGACCCAGTTCCTCCTTGGGTTACCAGGAATGCTCAAATGCCTTGGGCATTTCTACTCAGTACAAATAGTAAGCCTTTTAATGGGCATGTATAGATTTACATATGCATTAATATATGTATAGTTTTAGAGACTTAAGCACTGTGAAATTACACTAGGGCATAAGAATCAAAAGGCAAAATGATCAACCCGAAGCAAAGAAAATGAAACAGAACATTCTCATTTAATTGAGTGTAACAAAGTGTACTAAATAAACTTGGTAAAGAAATGCAAATCTAACTCTTCAAGCATACAGTTTTAATTATTTAAAGGGTTTGTAGCAGAGTTAAGGATGCTTTAACTATATTAACTCTACACTGACAGCTTCCTTTAGTTTTTCCACAGGAATGTACACTTATTTTGGATTACGGGTGAAAGAAGCAGTTATAAATCCAAAGAGAAGGTCATCAGAGAAGCAAATACGCACTGTAAAGACTAGAGAGTGAAACATTAAATAAGGACAGATATTTTATATCACAGCCTCACCCTTGATAGTTAACAAACAGCAGAGAACACACTGGAAGCTCAACCCAAGGTTCCCCTTGCTTGTTGCCTCTACAGGCTTTGTTTAATTTTTCTCTCATTTTTCCACTTTTTAAAAAAGAAACAATCTGAACAAGAGCAATTTTATTGTGCGAACAAAGACAACGGTGTGCGATCTGGGTAGCCCAGCAATTCTTTAATGGTTAATCTTTTTATTTTCTCTTTACCAGAGAGGAAGGAGTGTCAGGAAGAAGAAAGGAGAGCTAGAAGAGATAGAAGGCAGGAGGCAGGAACCGTGAAGTGCCTAACACAGTGGGTCCAACAGGAAATCCAAAAAGAAAGTTTAACTTCTGCGGAAAAAAAAATGAACGTATTTTTCCTGTACCCTTTAGAAATCAACAATGCTGTTACCATGGAGAAAATTCATGAATCCACTGAAATCTCATGAGTAACCTGGGGACCCTCCTGGTTACATAAAACATGTTGTTATTGTACATATACATTTGGCGTCTTCCTTCCCATTACTGAGACTCCATTTCACTCAATCTCAGGGGTTCCCATTATTTCCTGTGTTCTGAAAGTAGTTTTCTCAGAGAATAAATGTTCCATGATGCAGCAGATTGTGACCCTGAGAGCAACAGGTAATATTCTGAAAGTTGAGATGCTCACAAGAATGGGACTGTGCACGTTAATACTTAATCCACCAACATTTGACTGAAAAATTAAAACATAAACTACTAGACTTCTATATATATGAATGACTACAATAAACAACTTGAATATAGACATAAGCATATATATATCTTTATTTTCCATGTCTCATCCTAATGTTAATGTGTAACTCAGCTCAGGGTATAACTACTGTATCAAAATCCTTTATGACAGGGCCTCCCTGATAGCATAAGCGGTGAGGTCTCAGCACTGTCAAGCTATTGGCAGCCACTGTAGCACGAGTTCGATTCCCGGTGAGGGAGCTAACCTACATGGTGCAACAGACCTCTCCTGTCTCACCTGCTGCTCCCCTCAGCAGTATTTTTCAGTCAATCTGCCTGTTCTACACCCCACTCTGTCTCTGGTGAATCCTCTCACCACCCGCACCTCTGGCCTATACCCCTGCTCCTGTATGCATAAATAAATAAAATAAATCTTCAAAATCCTTTATGACATCATCTGAACTTTTTGGAGGGACATTATAGCTATCATTTTGCATTTATTATATAGAAGGTCACACAGACATAAACCCTTCACTGTGAATAGACACTATTTCATGAGTCTACTCAGTTTGGAAAAGTGAATCATCACTTAGTACATACTTTGTTCTCCATCTAGTTCTATACTCTGCAATAACTTTCTTATACTTTTGGAATACCGGGCAGTTTCTGAACTGCTTCACCTTCCTTTCCCAACCTGCCACTTTTTTTTAAAATAAGATTTATCTCATTTTATTTATTATTTATTTTTATTTATACAATAGCTGGGGTACAGGCCAGAGGCATGGTAGGGTGAGAGGATTCACCAGACACAGAGTGGGGAGCAGAACAGGCAGAAGGTCCGAAATACACTGCTGAGGGGAGCAGTGGGCACGACAAGAGAGGTCTGTCGCACCATAGGGGAATCTCCATGGCTGGCCGGGAATCGAACCCACGCTGCAGAGGCTGCGGACAGCTTCACAGCGCTGTGCTGAAACGTGCTGTGCTCAACCCGCCACCGGGGTGGCCCCCAACCTGCCACTTTCTCCAAAGAACCATTTAAATGTCCAGCAGAATTAACAAAGAAATAAAGACCAAGGAACGGAAAAATAGAAAGGATGGGAAGCATTGAGCTGAAATACAATAATGACTTGGAAGTACGCAGGAAGATTGACAGAGAAGGTTCACCCATCAACACCTCCAACTTGATGTCACTGAAGACAAATAACTGGTAGACCTTTGGGAGAACATAAGGACTGATTCAAGGTAGATAACTGGGGGAGGGGCAGGTAAAATGACACAAATGCAACATGTATGTATTTCCCCTCGCCCAAGAACTAAGCAGCAGGCAAGAGACAGCTTCAAAAGGCAAGAGAGCATGTCTGAATCAGGCTGAAGCATGACAAACACCACCTAGGGGTGTTAAGAAGGAAGACATTCTCATCCAAAGACATTCAGTGTTAAAAATAAGACATCTAGTATAGGAGGCAAGTTGCAGTGGCTATGATTAAAGTTGAGACAACCCTAGGGAAACTACTTCCAAATTGGGCATTTGGTAAACACATTGAAAAAAAAGTCAAGATGGTCAAATATTTTTGCTGTAAAAGCATATCTAAGGAAGACCAATCCTGACTGTTATTAGAAGCTCTATCTGTTCATATTAGGCGAAGACCCTCATGCTACATTTTCCCTCTTAGTACCTTTATTGCTTACTGTTTATACTGCTGGCTTCTCAAACGACCTAACATTTCCCCAAAGGCATCTTGTCAAATATCCTAGGAAGTGAGTCTCATACCAAAGCAATCTAACCCCCAGGTTCAGATTCAAATATCAGAGTGAGATTTGCACGTATCCTTGAATACACCCAGGGGAAAACAAGATGACATGGGAAGATGAGAAGAAAACATAGCATCATAAAATCCCAGAGCTGGACAAAACCTGAGGGGGCATCAAGTTCAATGCTTATGTGAAGCTTGAGTCCCCTAAATCCCTTGCCTGCCCAGCTGACATAAATTTTCTTTGCAAAGTTTCCCAAGAAGGTGAGTTCATGAAGACCTCTTGTCTCCCATGCAGCACATTCTGGTCTTGGAGAACTCAGTTTGCTAGAAGGTTTTTGATCCAGAGCCTACACCTCTGAGAAAGCTCAGCATAGTCCAAAAAGACTTGGCCTGGAGCCTAAAAACTTTTGGCTGACTTTTGGCTGAGTCACTTGCTTTGGGTTATGTCATTCTTTTGGGCTTCATCCTCTTTCTAATCTGTAAAATGGGAATAATGATGCCTAATCTGTGTTGTTCTGAGGATACACAATATCAAGTACATACAGCACATCAAGAAACACAGCCATGTAAGAATGAAGCATGTTTGACAATAAAAGTCAGACTATGTAGCTCTGATTACCACTCCACATTTATTACCTGTGACACTAAGCAAAGCCCTTAACTCCTATGCCTTGGTTTCCATCAGTAAAACAAACATAAAAATAGCACCTATCTCATAGACTCACTTTAAGAATGAAAAGGGATAACGTGTTCAAAGCATTTAGAACAGTGTCCTTCAGACAGTAAACATTCAATAAAAGTTTTTTTTTACTAGTTATTCATTACTAAACACTGTAAAATACTTTTTAAATTATGAAATATTTTTTTTAAAAACTGATCTACCAGTTAGTTTCACTGCTATCAGTTATAGTATCCTTTAACTTCTTTGACTTTCATCTCTTTTTCTATGAAAAGAGATTCTAAGAGCTACCACTGGGACAGAGAGAGAATTAAAGATCACCTGTGCAACTTCTAGCACAGTACCAGACACATAACCTACAATCAACAAATACTTTTAGTTTCTTCCTGCCACTTTCTTTTTATGTGTAGTTTTGCACTCTGTAGTAACAGAAAATAAAAATTCAGTCCTGGGCCTCCCTGGTGCACGGGGTTAAAGTCTCAGTGCTATGAAACTTATCACCAGCCATTGCAGCATGAGTTCTATCCCTAGCCAGGGAGCTAACCCACATGGCATAGCAGACCTCTCCTGTCGCTCCTGCTGCTCCCCTCAGCAGTGTATTTCAGTTGATCTGCCTTTTCTGCTCCCCACTCTGTCTCCGTTGAATCCTCTCATCCCCCC